AACCCAAAATTTCCACAACTGAAATTTTTAGCTCCCGATTTCTCTTAAAAATAAAGCAAATATGAAAATTTAAGCCATCACTAATGAGTACAGAAATTATACTGAAATTAAGTCCATTTAAATCAGTTTATAAAAATCTACACAACACCTACCTATATAGTGTATGTAACAGGTAGTTTTTTTTTTTGGACTAATGCTGATCCAAATTTATATTATGAATTATAGTCACTGAATTTCTCAAAATGGAATGAATATAGTGAACCATAAACATGAGCTTGAACTGTGTGGGTCTACTTACATGCAGAATCTAAAAAAGTCTTCTGTACCTCTGGGTTTTGCATCTGTGGATACAGTAGGCCAAAAGCATGCTTTGTCTTACACTATTTTATAAGGAACTTAAGTATCCAAGGGAGCCCTGGGACCAATCCACTAGGAATACTAGGAACTTAAGTATTAAGAACATTAGCCCTGGCCAGTGTGGCTTAGTGAGTTGAGCATTGTTTGATTCCAGGTCAGGGCACATACCTGGATCGTGGGATCCATCCCATTCGAGTGTGGGGCAGCTGATCAATGTTTCTCTTTCATGTTGATGTTTCTCTAAAATCATATATATACACATATAAAAATGGGGGGAAAAAAAAAGAGAGAGAGAACCAAGTTAAACACAAACTTCCGGCGGCATGGGGGCTCAGTACCCCGGCCTCATAAGGGACAACCGTACCACCCTCCTATTAGAGTCAAGACCAAGGGTTCTCTTTCAAGCTTTTATTTAAGGGCACGGATTCAGGATGGATTTTAGATCTTGTTGAAAGCAGCCACGTCCATGGACTGCACATAGTCCTCAAAAGCAGTGATCTGCTCCTCCAGCATGTCTGTTCCAACTTTATCGTCTTCCACTACACACTGTATTTGAAGCTTTTTAATTCCATACCCCACTGGAACCAGCTTAGCTGAAAAAAACATTAAGAAAAAATGTTAGAGAAGTTCTGTTCGTCAGCAAAGGTTGAAATTATGTAAATTTCTGATGCCAATTTCAATTAAGAAAGGTTGAACTCACAAGAGCCCCAGACCAGGCCGTCTGCTTGAATGCTCCTGACACACTCCTCTAGTTTTGCCATGTCTGTCTCATCATCCCAAGGTTTCACATCTAATAAGATGGAAGACTTGGCAACAAGTGCAGGTTCTAAAAAAAAAATAAGAAACAGCATTAATTATGTCTTTTTTACCCTAGTCCAGACACAAATCTCTTTTTTAAATATATTTTTATTTATTTCAGAGAGGAAGGGAGAGGGAGAGAGAGGTAGAAACATCCATAATGAGCGAGAACCATTGATCGGCTGCCTCCTGCACGTCCCATACTGGGGATTGAGCCTGCAACCTGGGCATATGCCCTGACTGGGAATCAAATCATGACCTCCTGGTTCATAGGTCAATGCTCAACCACAGAGCCACGCCAGCTGGACCGTAATAAATCTTGATTTTCAAAATCATCTCCTTAGCCACACAAAACTATGGGATACATCTGTTTGTCACACATATGCCCCCTTTCTGTTTTGCTAAGAAAGAGGTGTTTAATTGTGTAACAATTTCTTTCCCACAGAGGAATGCCACAACTGCCACCATGAGAACAGCTGCAGACCAGTAGCTGTGGAAGTTCTACAGAAAGTTCTGAAATACTGACCTAGTCAGTAAACGAGGAAATTACTTTGGGGATTAATCTTTGAAGAAGTGTATTCACACCATTATGAAATGAAGACAAACAATTATAAAATGACCTACTTTTGGCTTTCTTTGATTCATACTGTGCAAGGCGTTCTTCTCTTAGCCTCTTTGCTTCTTCGCTTTCCTGTAAAGAAAAAATTGAATATATTTCACAAAGTTGGTTGTTCCTCAGGTTAGAGATAGGGAGGTCATCACAACGAATACCAGCTTTATCAGAAAAAAAGCAAATCCATCATGAGCTTACGTTCAGCCGAAAGATGGTGATTTAATTTTATTCATCACGTAACCAGCGAGAATTTTGCTAAAAGCCAGCGATACAGTGAAGCCAGGATTCAAATCCGGGCAACGAGGCTGCAGAGCCCGTGCTTCAGCACGAGGACGCACTCACACCCACTGGTGCCGTACCTCCTCGTCGTCAGACCCAAAGAGGTCAATGTCGTCGTCGTCGTCTTTGCTGTCGGCAGCTCCGCTTCCCGTGGTGTCTTCCACGTTAGCAGGGCCGTACTTGCCCAAAGCTTTCTTCACTCCAGGCAGGCTTAAAAGAATAATAATAATTAAGTGTAACTACATGGGGGATACAACTTCTTTTTTCAGAAAACGCAGGAGGCCTTGTTTTCAACATTATTTACCAGCAGGACCCACTGAACGCTCCCAGGTACGTGGTTCTGAGCTGTAACCCCTCTCCCAACAGACACTGGTAGCGTGTGAGGCCGCACATCCCGTACTCACTAGCGTTTACCCAGTGGTTCTCAACCTTCCTAAGGCCGCGACCCTTGAATACAGTTCCTCATGTTGTGGTGACCCCCAACCATAAAATTATTTTCGTTGCTACTTCATCACTGTAATTTTGCTACTGTTATGAATCATAATGTAAATATCTGTATGCTTTAATTATGTTCAATTTGTAACAATGAAAATACATCCTGCATACAGATATTTACATTATGATTCATAACAGTAGCAAAATTACAGTTATGAAGTAGCAACGAAACAAACCAA